CCAGAGAATCCACAATCAGAGAACGTTTTATCAATTGAAGGTGAATCCAAACTCCTATAATTGAGAATTCAGATGACATTGTGACTGGAATTTCAAACCATTCTGGTAATCAATTTGAAGTGTAATTTATAGGATTGTGTGCAATACTTTCATAATGATGTCTCTGAGGAGTTAGGAAGGGTTCCAGTGATGACAGAGCAGTAGTTAATCCATTAGCAACTAGTCCCCGAAGGCTCCAGAGAATCCACATGACCGCCTTGACACCAAGTGCTGGCCACTTCCAGCCTTTGTGACTATCACAATAGTGGGAATTTTAATCGAGATGAGTACTACCTACATGCAAAGCCCTCAGTGACCTATGTAATACCAACAGGGAGCCTTAACGAACGTACGCTAATCTCGTTTCACTGTTCTCCATTTTTCTTTTTATCAAGAGCTACTCTCCTCATTTGTGTCACCATGTAACTAACCGCAATTTTTTTTTTTCCACATACCTTCGACGTTGGGGAATAAAAAATCCTGGGGAGAGTGATTTTCTTTTCAATTCTCCCTTTTTCCCTGGGAAATTGCGTTTGCGTTGGAGGGAATTTAATCAAGTTTTCATTCCAATGTTGAATGAATTGAGGTGAGGAGTTTCAGGGAATCGATTTCCATCAATTTTTTATCGGAGAAGAACTTGAAAATACAGTCAGTTCATTTTTCCAATTTGTCGGGGAACTTTATACAGGGAAAATCAATTTCTTATTAAGTTCTTTGAAAATTTAAAATTTGTTAATTGAATGAGTGAATTTTGTCTGTATTTTCTTGAATATATAAAAGTTGTTTATTCATGTTCGAATCGTAAAACAAAAAGGCTTTGAATAGTCAATTGGAGTGAAATTGGGAAAGAATGGGGGAATTTTTGAGAGTGGAAACTCTGATTTCAATTCAATTTCCGATATTGCTGTGAATTCACAATATTCTCTGGATCCAGGAAGACAATAGAATAACAAATATCCACAAAATAACATGATTGTTCGTTAAAAAATGCTTCCATTCGGAAGCAAAAATGGAGCTAAATTTTTTTGAAAATTCCAAGCTGTCAAACATTAAAAGTTTTTTCCTTGAAATATCATAATACCAATAATAATAATTATTACGGGTACTAATAGTTAATTTACTTGGCAACAGAAAGTGAATTTACCAAATTTATTTTCTTTCAGTGCACGAAAAAAAATACGCGACAACCTCAAAAATTCAGATTCCTCCCGTAATTTGATGCGGAATGATATCCAGTCATTTTCGGAAATATTCTATCTCGTGTATTGAATATCCAAGGATTTCGGAAAATGTGTCGTGTGCAATGAGCAGTTGGTGTGAGTCGAATGCATATTGGAGTCCCACTCTGCGGTCTGTGTGTACATATTCCAAGGAAAGCCACAAAAGCCCTGAGTTGAAACATTAGTGCTCTTGTCGACAACCAACGAAGACAGTCTCAATGGATAAAGGGATACGACTAACAGGAGAAAAGATGGAAAATGGGTCGCAAGAGTCATCTCCCTCGACACGGAAAACTCATTCCCGGTGGACTTTCTGTTTAAACCTTCTTCTTGGGCTTTTCCCGATGAATCTTGTTTTACAGTGACAAGCTGAGGTCTATCTTCCTTTATCCAGTATGAATACTTTTATCAGAGATTTAATACTTTGAGATTGCTATAAAAAAATACCAGGTCCTTATCCATAACGAGAATGGGGGAGGGGGGGGGGGTAACGAGAGAAAGAAATTTCATTTCATGAGAAGAATCTGGTTACAATCGCTCATTATTGATACCTCGATAGTTTCTGATTCTCTGAAAAAGCTCCTCAGTTGTGTCTCATCAATTTCCGCCATTTTGTTTCGCATTTTATCCCACAAAATGGCCGGATATACCCTTTTCCATATATTCATAAAATTTTTGAAATTTGGGAAATTTATTTATAGGACAGAAATTTTTATTCAAAGTAGAATAATAATTATTGAACAATTTGTTTGTTTTCTCATTTATTACTAAATAATGCAATTCACAATTTGCATTAATTCAATTATAAAGAGTATTATTTTGATTGAAGCCTCGAAAAAAAAGTCTCGTCTCAATTTTTTGCATTTTGCATTTTTTTTTGATAATTATGATAAATAATTTTTTTAATGGTAAATTTATTGCACCTGCGCTGCGTAAATTCCATCTTTTATTTTTTTATCGCAGGAATGAAAAAAAGGTACACTAAGAAAAATTTCTTTTGCCGAACATATTTTCTTGTGATTAGTAAATATGTCCTTGAAAAAATAATTGTTTTCTTAAGTGTAATCGAAAATTACGTGTACTTTCTTCGCTTCGTCCTAAGAAATATGATAAATGTTTAGTTTACGAATTATTACGTCGAATTATAATAATAATTACGGAATTATGACGAGTAATTTAGGAGAGAATATATATATATATTTTTTTTAGTTCCTTTCGAGTGACGCCGCAGGAGTGACTTATTCTGCAAACACTGTGCAAGTACTTCTGTATATTACGTTGAGAGAGTAATAGTCATTGTGATGAAACAGCTGAGTAAATTATACAGAAGGCTCGGTGAGTACCGTGAAACTCAAACTGAATAAATTTTTTGGTTTCATTTTAGAGTTGTATTAAAAAATTTAATATTTCGGAGGTAAAACCAAGACGGTGAAGAGCTTTGGGGGAATATTCAGGGAAGAGCACGTACCTCCGGGCTTTTATGCGGTTTTCATTCCATTCTGAAATTCAAGATTCGTTTAATGTTTAACATCAAGAGAGAAACTCTTTTGACATTTATTTAAAAGACACTGGAGTTTTTCATCTTGTGAGTGCTTTGTCGACCGCTAATTGCCACTGACTTATTTCTTCTCAATTTTACTTACCAACATTCAATTTTATATTCTTATATTAAATGTTATATTCATATATATATTCGAATAATAATATATTCAATGGTATTATGAAAAGGAATCAATGGATTTCACTCCGATATCGAAGGCCTGATAATTATTTCTGTGGCGCAAAATGTTTTATTGAGATTTCAAGATTTTCGACACTTTCCAAATTCACGTTTTTTTTTTTATTTCTCTGGTAAATTATGGATGGGTTGACAGGAAAACTTTGTATTTATTTAATTGTATGTAAATCAAACCTCTAAGGTTTAAAAATGATTAATAAAAAAATATATATAAGAGAAAAATCTGAAACGCTCAGCAAATTTTCGAGTCTCTCACCGAAAGAGTACCAAAAGTTTAAGTGATTTTTCAACATTATTTTATTATCCTTTTGACGTAATATTTCGTGAATTTTAAATGTTTATATTGATTCTTATTGTACTTTTCTCTCCGTGTGAAGTCTTGTGAATTTTCGCAAAAGAACTGAGAACGTACCGACAACTCTTCTACGTCAATAAAACATTGTGAAATATTAGATAATAATGAAACTCAAATTGTTAAATATTTTAACGTTAATTCAATCAACCACTCCTCCGAAATTCATAAAAAAAAACTTGAAAAATTAGAAGATATCGCCAATAACTCCTTAATCTCCAACTTCAATGACGTTTTAACAAAATTTTGCTCAAGCAATTATACTGTCAATATCCCGGTCATTTAATCGGTAATTAGGACGAGTTAACGTATTTATAGTTGCATCAAGTCTTGTTGCCATAAAGATGCAGAATTCATGGAAAGGGGTGTGGGGAATGAGAGAATGCATATACCATATTCCATGCCTCGAGAGGGTGGCATGCAATTTCCTGTTTCTCCACTGGGAGAAAAGTGGGGTGTAAAATGGATAAACTGGAGCGAAAGCTTGTTGTCGTAAATTAAAGAAAAAAAAACGGTCTCTTTCTTTCTCTCCTATTTCTGGTCTCGCAGTTAATGGGTTTCATTGGGTTCCAATATCAGTTGATTTTCCGCTCGATTTTCCAGGGTTGAAAAAAATTATGTCCAATTTCCCTCAGTGAATCGAAAAGTAGAACGTACAAATTGAATTAGAATTTAATTAGATATATGACTCAGATTAGAGGTGTTCACTATCCTGGAACTATCATTCTTATTCGTTTGGAGTGAGCTAGTTGTAAGTGAAGCAGTTTTGCTAAAATATTTCCAAAAATTAATGTAAATACCGGATTTTGGAATTATTCGTGCGATTGTTTTGTAGTGACGCCAGTTTTCCGCTGATATCTCGGAATGGATCGTAGATAGCGATATTTTTATTACGACCTTTTCTATAGCTCTTGTCCTTCTTTATAAAAAATATCTTTACAAAAATTACGTTATCTCCCTTCAATCCCCAGCTATCATCAAAAAACTAGATTAGAAAAAATGGCACTTATTCTCGTTTTCCAGCAATCAAAATCGCTCACAAATTCACAGAAATAGACAATAAAATAAAAATAAAAAAATCAATACAAAACAGAGAATTACTTTGATATTAAAAAATCAACTGATCCGTCAGTGAATAATTCTACAAAAAAAATCACCTATAGTTTACTATAGTTTTCTCACCCAAAAGTGCATAAATAACCCGTTTGTAATACATAAATAAGTTTGTAAAATCCTAGCTCTGTCATATACGTATGAAAATCGGTGGCTGCATCAAATATCGAAGAAGAGTCAATAAATCAGGATGAATAAACCCTGGTGACTTATTGGTAACGTAAACGAATATGTGCATCGGTGCAATTTTTATGATAACAGTTGTTTGAAGTGGAGGGGATTGAATAGATGTCCTTATAGCATACGATAAGAGCCTCCTCTTGCACATCCTGGAGAGATTATTAGAGCGAAAGTAAGCGAAACGATACTTTACGATTCACAGAGGCAAAACTAGAGTCTCCGGTTTCATATTCTGCACTTTATTCCCTTCAGTATCAGAAGATGGAGTATTCAGGGATGACTTAGCCACCTCCTCTTTTCTGTCTCAGTAATATTTGTTTCTCGTTGAATAATAAAGTGGAATGTTTCATGCATTTACCTGAGCATCTGCCAGGATGCGCCTCATCAAGGCCAAGGTGGGGTGCGCTGAAGCTCCATCCTCTTCAGCAAATCGTTCACCCTCTTTGCTAAGTCGATTCAGGCTCTTGAGGGCTGCAAAAAATATAACATTTGCATTCATAATAAATTATAAGAATTTTGGGTCAAGGAATTAATAAATACTTTCCAGTTTTTCAACATTTTAGTGTTCAGTCTTATAGGATAGATAGATTGATCTAGATTTATCTACAATATTATCTATCTATTAAGTGTTTGAGATTTTAGTAGATTTGAATAAATTTAGTATATTTGAATAAATTAATTAAATTTTAATGGAACTTAATAGTTTCAATCAAAATAATCGAATACCGAAATGACTGGATATTATTTCTCAGTTCAAATGCAAGGATTAGACTGTTTGTTTCAGATTTTTGTTAGTATGCATTAAAATCTATTTACGAGGATTATTAGTTACCAATTATTAACAATTAAATGTAACACCCACACTTCTACCCTTTGGATTTTCTCCACACGAAGGGAAAAATTTTATAAAAATTCCACGAAATTCACGTAAAATTTTCAACTTGTTCTGTAATTTTCATCGAATCTTTCCCATCGTGTACAGATTACCCGAGAAATTCCCGCAAACCGCAATAAAATTGTCTTATTTTCTAAGATCTAGTCTCAGCCAAGAAAATTGATAGAAGACAACCTCCAGCTTTCTCGAATTCAATTAAAATTCTTCATCTCCTGAAAAATTGCCCTCATTGCGGTGTTAACCCCATAATTGAGTAATAAACAGAATGATGAGCGTCAATCACAGAGACCGCTAATTTTAATTGTGGTAAGCCATCACCGATTAAAGCTGTCAATTGCATGTATATGTATGAATAGAGTGAAATGAATGGATAAGAGTAGATGAGAGGAGAGGTAGCGATAGAGGAAACTTAAACAAGAGGTGCTTCATTCGTATTATCTTATAGTTGATGTTTGAGCTGGACGATAATTGGATTCCTCTAGCATCTTGGAAAGCCGCATGGTGAAGGATCTGATGAACGAGGGAAAGATGGCCATAAGGGGCCATGGCCAAAGCATTATCGACAAGCCGTTGAGCAACTCCTTCGATGGCTCCTCTAGGAGTTTAGCTATCATCGGAGACCATTAACTCCTCACCGAAATGTTACGTCCACTTAGATTGACACACTCAGAAATTCTCCAATTTTCAAGTATTTATCACCACAAATATCCAACTATATTGCAATATTGTTATGAATAATACATTTTTAAAAACATTCCATCAAACTATCTATGTAGTGGCATCTTTCATTTTTCCTGTCGAGACTTTTATTCTTCTTGTAAAACTCATTAATTAAAACGAAGAAATAAAAATGGAAACGAAAGATGGATAAATAATAATAAATATGGGAATGGAATAATTGAGGTATACCGATGGAAATGATAATCCACGCAAAAATTAAGAATAATAAATTTCCAATCGGTAATGAATTTACGAGAAGTAAAAGTAGTTCAGTAATTGGTAATTTTATGGTGTAGAATTTATATTATTGAATGTTATTAATTGAGAAATTAATATTGCTAAGGATAGGTTCTTAGATATTCTCTATCACCTAATGAATATTGCCGCAAGGATAAATAAATGCAGAATATAAACATAAATATTGAGGGAAATAATATTGGGTCCCAATCTCTGTTTATTACTCAGGCAATAAAATTTAAGCAGCAATTACGCGATTCGAAGTGGTTGATTACGGGATTAGCGTTAATTGGATTGACTAGCATAATTGGATTGAAGAGTAAAAATAAATTATTATTGAAGAGTAAAAGTAAATTAAGGGATTAATGAAGTTAATTACGAATTCTAAAAATTCTTGGAAATTCGATACAGATTGTTAAATGAAACTTGAAATTTTATGGAGATTTAACCAGTAATTTTCAGAACTATCATTGAATTTGATTTATAAGAAAAAACTCATTAAATAGTGAATTCCTCAAATTACTTGAATTTTCAATTGTACAATCCATGAATAATCATTACAACATTTGCGCTCTCTAATTAAATTGGAATTTGAATTATAAAAAAAATTCGAATAGAATTATTAAGTTAAATAATTCCGGGAAAAATCAGGAAAATCGACGAGAAAATAGAAAATTCATTCAAGTTGTGAAATTTCCATCTGCCTTCCACCGAAGGCTCACAAATTCTCTTGAATTCTTCCCGAACCTTCAATCTTCGTTCCATTTCCCCTTTAAATCCAATTCGACGTTTCCCACAAGAATTACTGTCACATCTGCCGTAATATTTCCCAAAGAAATTCCCCAGCGTAAATTTCGTGCATTAGTCGCCACATGTTGGATTGATTCAATAGTCCTACAGGTCAGTAATTTTTTTCTCTTCATACGAGACCCAAAGGTTAATCCATCTATTTCCATGGTAGCACCCAGCAAAAATGATTCTCTTTCATGGAAGATATTGAGTCCACAAGATATATGGGCATAAAGTCACGTAGAAACATCGCCCACATGTAGAATAATATGGCAAACGTGAAGTTACCAACAGTATCTAGGGCTGTAGGGGAAAACCCGAGACCACAAAGTGTACATAATAAAGAAAAAGATAGAATGAGACATATTCCAATAAACCCAGCAATATATTCTATTTCACTGGCACAGTTGGTGATCCTCCTACACTTTACTCTCCACTTGTGACAGCAAAAAATCTTTACTTCATGCAAATAATCCAGGGTAAAGGACACCATCAACCCAATAGATAACTGACTAATTCAGTAGTCAAGTGGGAAAACTTTTCTAATCACTCATCTGCTCTCGAAAAATTACAATTGAAATCTCAACTGAAATACTGGAAATTATTAATGTCACAGACTAAAATTTTTGTGTCATTCTCCATTCACGAATGAGTTAATTTCCTGGAAAACTCAAAATGCGGAAAATTCAGGCAATAATTTCTGTAAATTTTCAATCTATGGGAAATTTAATTGAATTGTAATTGATACTGAATTCTCAGGATGGGAAAAATTAATAATTATTCCCCATAAAAAGCGAATTATTTTTAATACTCAAGATGAATAAGAAATTTATTGAATATGTTCAATTAAAATTGAATTCAAATTGCAATAATTGAAAACTGAGAAGACATTCTGCCTGAAATTTAAGATAATTTTGAACAGCCAATTAATTAGTTTCAAAAATAATCTGCTCTGAGCTCCAAAAGTTTCTAATTTCAGACAAATGATTGTTTAACTGGAATTTTTTCACTTTTCAACTACTGAATTGTTATGTTAAAAATTTGTATCCCCATCCCGTTAAATGCCTCACCTTCTTCATAGGGCTGGGCTCGTTTAGCAAATGCCCTAGAAAATATACCTCGTGACTTGGCGGTGTCCACACTGTTCTCAATAGCTGTGCTCATTTTTTTTCTTCATTAATATTTTTTATTTCACCTTCACCCTTACCACTGACTATCAGTCGATCAATTCCTGGACATGACGGGTGCATCTGGAACGGAGATTTCATTTTCGATGAACAATTATCTTTAAACGCAATCCCTCAGGTGTTTCCTCGCCTTTTTATATTTTGAAAGAGAGTAGCTAGTGAATATTGAAGGTCTCAGAGAAAAAGGAGATGAAGAGCAGAAGATTGGATCCATCATATTGAAGAGGGCGAATTTTCATGGATTTTTATAGATTTTTATAGATTTTTATAGATTTTTATAGATTTTTATAGATTTTTATAGATTTTTATAGATTTTTATAGATTTTCATAGATTTCCGTAGGCACAAGATGATTCATCAATTATTTACCTTGTGGTAATTGAATTTACTTCTAGTAAACAAATTAATTTAGCAAATGCAAAAGTGCCACAGAATTTCTCACGAAATGACATTTTACCTCGGGATCCCGCAATTTTCCCGTAATTTATCGTAAAATTTTTGGGCGACTGTTTGAGGTGTTGAACTTGGCGTGTGTTATCGTACTTCCACATGGGGTTTCACTCGTAACTTATTCGTATAATTCTGAACCTTAGGGTGATGCTGAGAGTGTACATTGTGAGAATGGGAAGATACGGCATCCGGACGTCGAACTATACCCGGGGTTCAGGGTGTCTTTTCAAGCTCCAGGGAATGGTTTGACGGCGTTATATGACATTTTCAATGTGCCAGGTTGAGAATGGAAAATGGAGAGCAGAGGAGACGCCGAATGTCACTGACACGAGAAAACCCGCGGTGCATATTGTTCAAGGTGCGTCGAGACGGTTCGATCTTATTGCATTATATGAAAGGAGAGATAATTTTCATGAATTTATGAGGATGAAGACAGAATATTTCCTGATACTTCAGCGAACAATACTCTCGGATATTCCATTTTCAATGCGATATCGATAGAAAATTATTTTTTACGCACTATAATTTATGACGATCTTTTATAATCCGGAGGATAAATTCACGGTCTCAATAAATCTGTAAATAAAATTCAACGACCAAAAACTGTTGAAAATTATTAAAATAATGTAATGTCATAGTAACAATGGAATGTACTAGAATCAAGTACAAAATCTTTTTTTTATGGTTTTTCACTCTTGTGCCCTGTTAGAAATTTGCATATGACATTTACTTATCTCAAGCGAAATAATTGAAATCAATTAACTTATCGAATATTTCAGTAATTCTCGATTTTTAAGATATTATTAAATAGTTATTAATATTTTCAATCTAGTGAAAATTGAACCGTATTCAATATTCCATTTTTTAATGACTCTGAGAACTTAATCTTTAAAAAATTCGTTATCAACAAAAAAAAAACAATTTTCTTGAATTCTTAAGATGAACAAGAAATTTGTGAAAAAAAAATAAATTGTGATAAGTAAAAATATTTAAAAAAATGCTGAGTTAATTATTTATCTGAGTACTTATAACAACTGTTGATCAACTGTTATGAGTATTTAGATTAATGATGGAATTATAATTAAAAAAATATTTTCTCCGTTGTTATATAATTTATTCTCGGGAATTATACGGCGATGAAATGTAATTTCGATAATGATCTGTTGGTATAGCGCTGAAGAAGAACAGCTGATGTTTCTTTCTCCCTTCATGATTAATGTACTTTCCTCAACATTTTCGAGCTGTTAAATCTCATGGGAACAATGACATAAGCCTGAGGTAGATAACTATGGGATGGGGAAAGTTGGCTGTGGTAAGTTCACTCCAGTGGCAACAAAGTTACAACGCCAACTCTTGTCAGCAACAATCACTGCGCTCTGAGGAGTTGTACGATGAGGAAATATGTGTATGAATTTGCGAGGAAACTCCATGAATTGTCTGGACCCACGATTTTCACAATGAGAAACATGAAAACTTGAGTGCCAAGATATCTCCAATTATTTTCATGAGCGAATCAAAGAACTCCATCATCCACTCAACATCAAACTTGGACTTTTTTCTTTTGGACATTTTCTTCTGCATCTGCAGGAGCTTTATCTGGAGAAAACAGGAAAACCTCGGGATTTAAATGGAACTTTCCGAGGAATATCATTTATTATGAGAAAATAGTCCAAGTAGTCGAGGGTTTGTGCCAATGGTAAATCGGGGAAAGGAGAATGGTAAAAGGAATAAAACTCTCATTGGAATTTCTCGTTACTGGAGTTGAAGTGAACCGAAGGGTCAATGAGAACTATGAGCTATTCCATCATGGGAATAATTAGGGTTATTTACTCGTTACCATAAAAAATTATTTACCATTACATCAGGATTTTTCGTCGAATTGCATCAAGACAATTCAATCTTATCTGCGAATTTACATCAACAATAATTGCATAATTAAAATTAAATAATTATTCAATTAATTGTTCTCATTCCATAATTCTTATATAAATGATAAAGTGACCGCTCTTAATTTTATTCAATTACAATATCACTCCTAGAAATGGTCCAGAAAATATTACAAATGATTATGACATAAATTGTATACTGCTCAGAAGTATTATACTGGTAAAATATTGTAGCCCTCACTTATTCTTGAATCAATATCCCTGAGTGTAGTCGATTGTTCTGACTTGCTTGAGCGAACGGGGGATTACTTTTGTGTACGTTAAGCAATCGATATATTTTGTGTACCATGTTAAATACTGCCTGCGAATTTCTGTGGATTGAATTCGTCATTCGGTCTGTGATGTGTGGAGTACCTTCCAG